CTACATATTGTTTATGGCCACACATACACGTGTAGTAAAAGTAAAAACATTTGTGAAAATGATTAAACCCAATTCAGGATGGTGCTTTTGGGGGAAGAGGGGAAGAAAGGATGGAAACAGAATCTAGGAAGGGTACAAAAAAGGCCCTATATTGTTTCTAACATTTTGTTCTAAAAACAACAGATCTAAAGCAAATTAGGCAAAATGTTAAGATTTAACAAGCTGGGTAGTAGTCCACTTATACTTTTCTGTATGCTTAATATATTTTAGTGGTTTTTTTTGATGTAAATATTCTGTGTTTAATTTAGAAAATGCAGTTTATGGGGCGCCTGGGTGGCTCAATGGGTTAAGAGTCCAACTCTTGATTTCAGCTCCGGGGCCCGAGCTGGGTGGGAAGCCTGCGGAAGATTCTCTCCCTCTGCCCCTCCTCTCCACAACTAGTGCATGTGTGTGCACTCTTTCTCTCTCACTCTAAAAAAAATAATAATAAAAAGAGAAAAAAGAAAATGCAGTTTAGAAGTATCAAAATCAACCACAATCCTATTACTGAGAAGCAGATTTCCTTCCATTCTTTTAAAAATGAATTTTTTTTTTCTTTTTATTTATTTATTTGTTTGACAGATAGAGACACAGGGAGAGAGGGAACACAAGCAGGGGGAGTGGGAGAAGGAGAAGCAGGCTTCCTGCCAAGCAGGGAGCCCAATGTGGGGCTCGATCCCAGGACCCTGGGATCATGACCTGAGCCGAAGGCAGATGCTTAACGACTGAGCAACCCAGGTGCCCCTTTTTTTCCTTTTTAAAATGAATTCTACAGGGGGCACCTGGGTGGCTCAGTCACTTGAGCATCCAACTCTTGATTTCAGATCAGGTCATGATCTCAGGGTCCTGGGATCAAACCGTGCATCCAGCTCTGCCCTCAGCGAGGAGTCTGATTGAGATTCTCTCTCTCTCTCTCTGTCCCTCCCCCCAGCTTGTGTGCATGCATATGCTCTCTCTAAAATAAATAAATAAAATCTTTTAAAAAAATAAATAAAATGAATTCTACAGGTGTTCATTCTAAGTTATGTCACTTTATAATTCAAAAAACATGATAAACTCTGATTCCTCTTACCTTCATTGAATCAACGTGAATTTCACTCAGTTGTTGGATATAATTATGCAGCTTCTTTCTGTCCCCCAAGGTACTAGAATTATAACAGGATAAGCAAATCTATCATTATTTGCTTAATAATAATCCCTAGAGTATATAATAGTATATAATCAACTCTAAATTATCTACATTAATATAATGAGAAGTCAGATTAAAAGGAACAATTAATAATTCAAACATACACCCCCCCTAGAAACTCTCCCTTAGGCTTCTGCCCTTGATGCTCTTCCCGTGGTAACTCAGACTTCAACATCTATGTCTCTACTGAGTGCTCAATTGATACTTCAAACTTATTTTAATCTACCTGAAGTTGACATCTTCCCTCACAACCCTGAATTTGCATGGTTCAAGGTACACTCTGAAGTAGAGCACAGTGAGAATGAAAAAGGACTTTGAAATCAGAACTGATTCACATCTTTACACAGAATCTGTGTGACCTTGGGAAAAAAAAAAATCACTCAAACTTTTTTAGTACATAAATGTTCTTATCCATAGCACAGGAAAAATGCGAGTACTAGGTATAACTCATGCACAGATCAAATATATATATATGAAGGTTATAGCTTTACTTGTACCCATCTTCCTTTGTCAGTAAGCCCTCATAATGCTCAAGGTTCAATAAATAAATTTAATAGGATTTAACGTAAACAGCTCAAAATCCTATAATTCATTATCCTGTGTCATTTACACTTACTGGTCCAAGCAAGTTAGCCTGACACCTGGCTAATTATTAACAGAACCAGCAGACAAGGGGCAGAATTTACTAATCTACTAGCTAGCTAATTAGATTGAAAAATCTTATGCTCGGGCGCCTGGGTGGCTCAGTTGGTTGGGCGACTGCCTTCGGCTCAGGTCATGATCCTGGAGTCCCAGGATCGAGTCCCGCAT